GGGGGGGGGGGCAGGATGTCACCAAAGAGAGTTTGCAGGGCACAGATTTGGGGGTGTCCCTAGGGAGGATTTCAGGGGTCTCTGGGGACAGCTTTCAGGGATCGCAGGTTCAGGGGGTCCCCAGGTTTTTGAGGGGATCCCAGATTCAACTGGTCCCCAGGGAGGGGGTAGGGAGGTCCCCAGGCTTGGGGAGGAGCGGGGGGAGTGTCCCCTCCCAGACTCACCACTGCTGTGAACTGGTGGAAGTCGGGGCGCAGGTCGCTGCCTCGCAGGTGGATATAGGAGCCCTTATTGCCCATCTGGTCGCTGGCAGGGGGGACAGGGATGCTTGGGGACATGAAAGCATGGCCCCCCCCATGGGGACACCGAGGCTTGGGGACCCCCAGGGACAGGGACACTTGACAACATGGAGGTATAGCTCCATACATGGACAGCAAAGCTCAGGGACAACCAAGGCTCGGGGACCCCTGGGGACACCGAGGTAGAGCCCCGTGCAGGGGCACTGAGGCTCGGGGACACTTGCGGACACTGAGGTATGGTGCAGAGGGACCAAGGCTTGGGGACAGCAACATCCCACACGGATGCCGAGACATGGTGACAACCCAGTGATGGGAACAGGAGATGCTTTGGGACACTGAGGCACAGGGGACACCCAGGGACCAGACTGAGGGCACGCTGAGTCTCAGGGGACACCAAGGGTGCACATGAGCCGGGGAGCAGGCACAACGGGGCCCACTCCTTGCCAGTGGCAGTGGCACCGCCCTGTCCCCAGGTGCTGGTGACACTCACCAGTAGTTGGGGGCAGAGAAGACAGTGACGCATTTGCCATCGTGGGCCACCTCATAGCCCTCAGGCTTCACCTCGTGGCTGCGGATGATGTAGTCGAGGCGGTTGCGCTCCAGGAAGCTCTTGGTGACATCGGGCCCAAACTGGCAGCTGACCCCACGTTTGCTGACAGAGCGGCCGTTCTGCGGGAAGGCCAGCATCACCAGGACCCCAGGGACAAGGTGGTGGCCGTCCCCAAGGAGGCGGGGCAGAGGGAGAGGCATTTGGGACCCACTGCTGGGGTTCAACTCACCTGGGGCTGCGGGTCAGACCAGAGCAGGTCACACATGGGACCTGTGGAGGAAGCAGAGGGGGGTCAGGGTCCCCCATCCGCCCCTGGGGGGACATCTCGGTCCCTTGGAGATGGCTGGGATGCCACAGCAGGGAATAAGGGGCATCTCTCCGCGTCCATCTCCCACCTGAGTCCGGGGGCTGCCGGTTCCTCTCGATCTTCCGGATGTCATCAAGGGTGACACCATCCTCGCTGAAGAGACCCCCATGCATGATCTGGGACAGAAGCCACGTTGGTATGGGGACAATGGGGACAACAGGGACCCCTCCCCATCCTAACCCTGGTGAGGATCAACCCCAGGGGTGAGGAGGGAAGGGACCCCCAGCCCCTGAGGACAGCATGGACCCCCCACTTGTGCAGGGAGCACCCCCAAGCCCCCAGGAGACATGGATGGTGGGGGCCCCCCAAGCCCCACCAGGGACAGGGACCACCCTGGCTCACTGGGGACCCCCACCCAAACCCCATGAGAGATAGGAATCACCCCAACACCATGGGGATGGCAGAGACCCCCCACCCAAACCCCGCAAAGGACAGGGATCACCCCAACTCCCTGGGGACAGGAATGGCAGGGACCCCCCAACCAACAGGGAGCTCACAGGCAAACCTGCCCCATGCAGTGACATCCCAGGGGGCTAGGCTGGGGACAGGGGGGACGGACATGGTATCCCCTCACCAGCACTTTGCCATTGATGCACTGGGCCAGCGGCAGCCACTCAAAGACCTCGCTGAAGAGGGCGAACATCTGCGCTGTGTATTTGGCCTTCACCTCCCCCTCGAAACCATAGATCTGGTTCATGTTGTCCGTCTCGTGGTTCCCTACAGGGAGGCGGTGGCATTGCCAGGCCCAGGGACACCAGGCAGGGGACAAAGCCCCACGGCTCACCCCGAGATGGGCAGGGAACGAGGGCCCATGACCCAGGATGGGGGACAAGGCACAAAGTCCCAAGGACACGTGACACGGCCCCACAGCTCAACCCCGGGACCAGAGATAGGGAATGCAGCCCCACAACTGGGGACACGGCACCAGGACCCGGGACAGGGCCCTGAGACCCCAGGAGGTGACAGGAGACACAGGATGTGGCCCCACAACTAGGGAGAGGGGATCTGGCCCCACGACCCACGACAGATGATGTGGCCCCATGAGCTGGTCCCATGCTTAGGGACAGGGGACATGGGCGTGGAACAAGGCCCCACAACCGGGGACAGGGGACATGGCCCCACAACCCAGGATGGAGGGACAAGGACTCATCACCCATGGTGGCCACGTTACCTCGGAGCAGGTGGAAGTGATCAGGGTAGAGGAGCTTGAAGCCGAAGAGTGTGAGAATGACCTCGACTGAGAAGGACCCACGGTCCACAAAGTCCCCGTTGAATATCTGCAGCTGGTTCAGGAAAACAGCTCCCCGGGTCTCCGACCCTTCATGCCACCCGTCCCCACACCTGTCCCCACCACAGGGGTGGGATCAATCCCAGTGAGACCCCGGGGCAGGGGCAGCTCAACCCTACTCCCTTCTGGGGGATACGTAAGGGTTCGACTCAGAGGGCAGCCCGTTGAGCTCGAAGATGTTCAGCAGGTCATAGTACTGCCCGTGGGTGTCCCCGCACACCGTCACCTTCTCCGTCTGCGTTTGGGATGAGCCAGGGTGGCACGTCACCGCTTGGGGACTTCACACACACCCAGCGGCACCGGCACCTGGCAAGGGGCACCCACCTCCTTCAACGTCGTTTCTACTAATGTGGGGAGCTTAGCCAGCACCTCCTTCACCTGCACCAGGATCTGCCGGGACAAAGGGTCAGCAGAGGTGACAAGGAGGAGAACGTGTGACACTTGGGGACAGGGCAGGGCCCAGCAGGGGACTGGGGGGAGTTTGGGGGAACTGGGGTACCTGGTAGGCACATTTTCTGTGGAGTTTCTTCTGCTCCTTGTACCACTGCATCAGCTCCTTCATGAAAGCCAACGTCACCTTGCCACCATCCAGCTTGGGGCCACTGTACTCATCCTCGATGGCTGCAAAACGAACCCCCCCAATGGCCGATGACATGAGAGGACAGCAGTGACAAGTCCCCGAAGGGCCATCATGCCCCTGCTGTCCTTCTCTGCAAGCTCACAGCCCCTGACGAACTCCAGTAGCCTTCTGGGGATGCTGAGCCTTGGCTGGGGAGACTCATGCGGACCCCAAAGCTCTGCTGGGCACCTTCATGGGGACCCTGACACCCTCATGGGGACCCTGACACCCTCACGGGGACACCAAGACCCTCATGGGGACCCTGACTGGAATGCCAAAACCCTCACAGGGCCCCCGAGACTATCACAGGGATGGCAGGACCCTCATAGGGACCCTCATGGTGATCCCAAGCCTCTGCTGGGGATCTTCATGGGTGCCCTGAGACCCTCGTGGGGATCTTGAGACCCTTCCAGGGACCCTTCTGGGTAACCTAAGTCTCTGTTTGGGACTGTCATGGGGACTCCCATGATCCCCTAGGACCCTCCTGGAGACCCCCCACAGCTCCTCAAGGCTGTCATTGGGACTCAGAGCCTCCACCGGGCCCCCAAGGCTCCTGAGACCCTCCCAGGTGACCCTGAGCTTTCACCAGGCAATCTCACAGGGACCCCCACAGAGCCTCACAGGGACCCTGAGCCTCCACCAGGGGATCTCAAAGGATCCCCAAGACCCTCACGGGGATGCCAAGCCTCTGCTAGGGACCGTCACAGATCCTCAAGACCCCCATGGGGACCCTGACGCTTTGCTGGGGACACTCATGGTCCCCCTAAGACTCTCAGCCCTCACCCCCACCCCAAAAATCTTTATGGAGACCCCCAAGACCCCCACGAGACCCCCAGAATCCTCCCAAGGGACGTCGAGCCTTTGCTGAAGGCCCTCAAGGTCTCCCCGAGACCCTCACAGCAACCTCCAAACCCCCCACAGGAACCCCAGAGGGGACTCTGAACCTTTACTGGGGACCCTCACGGACCCCTCCTCCTTCCGCCCTGCCTGCAGAGAAAGGGGAGCCTTGATTTTGAGGGGGCGTACAAGGGGCAAGGAGGGTCAGGGGGCTCACTCATGCTCTCGATGTCAAGGGAGTCGACGACAGAGCGCTTGTGCTCATCACTGGCGATCGCCCGCTCGAAGGCCTTCTGCTTGACGATCTTGTGACACTCCTGGTACTTCAGCTTGGCGTCCTTGTCATTGGGCCTCACCTTCACCACCTGGGGGTGGGGGACACACACATCAGGCGACATGGACACGCCCCCCATGCCCCACAAGGACACCCAGACTCCAGCACCCCACCGCCCTGAGGTGTCCCTGACCAGGGACAGGGGCAGAGGGACTCTCAGATGTGAGGGCTGGGCTGATGCCGGGAGGGACAAGGGGGTCCCCAAGCGTCCTCACAGCTCTGGGGCATGCGCTAACATGGTGGGGGACAGTGGGTCCCAAAGATCCCCCCAGCTCTCAACCATGGGCGGACAGTGTCCCCAAGGGTCCCTCAGTTCCAGAGCACGTACTGATGCTGAGGGGGTCGGGGGGACCCCCAGGATCCCTCAGCTCTAGGGCATGTCAGTACAGGGACAATGGGGTCCCCAAGTGTCCCCACAGCTCTAGGGGACCCGATGATGGTGGGGGGTGACAAGAGTGTCCCCGAGAGCCTCTCCCGGCTCTAAGAACATGTGCTGACGCCAGGGAGGGGACAAGAAGGTCCCCAAAGGTCTCCCCCAGTTCTAGGAGACAGTGGGGGGATGGACACAAGGACATCCCCAAGGGTCCACCTGTCCAACTCTAAGGGACATGCTGACATTGGGGAGGGGACAAAGGGGTCCCCAAACCTGTCCCAGTCTCTAGGGTGACATGCTGACACCAAGGAGGTGATGAGGGGGTCCCCAAGCCTCTCTTGATCTTGGTGTGGAGCACATGCTGACACCAAGAGGGTCCCCAAGCCTCTCCTGAGATCCAGGGGAACACACTAACACCAGGGAGGTGACAAGGGGGTCCCCAAGCCTCCCCCTGAGCTCCACAGGGACATGCTGACACCAAGGAGGTCCCCCAAGCCTGCCCTAAACTCCAGGGGGACACACTGACACCAGAGGGGTGCCGAGGGTCACCCCAAGGTGCCCGGCCTCACCGTCTCATAGTCGCGGAGGGCGGCCTTGAACTTGCCCAGGGCCATGTTGCTGGCGGCGCGGCGGTAGTAGCCCTTGACATACTTCTTGTCAAGCTCAACAGCGCGCGTGGCATCAGCAAGGGCGTAGCCGTAGCACTCAGTGCGCAGGTAAGCCAAGCTCCGGTTCCCGTAGTAGATGGCATTGGTGGGATTCAGCTCGATGGCACTGCTGTAGTACTTCACCGCGTTCTCGTAGTCCTTCCCTGGGCCGCCGGTGGGCGTCAGCGGGACAGGACGGGACCCCCACCGTGGGCCATCCCTGCGGGCAAGCCCTGATCTCCCTGGGGCCAACCCTCACTTCCCACACGGCTCCCAGTCTGGCAGCGGGTCTCTTCTCTAATTGTCCCCCAAATGCTTGTTATACAGCAGCCTGCTCCTCTGACTGCCTCCAACACGGGTGCTGGTCTGGCAGCCCCCTGTAGATCCCTACCTGGCAGCCCCCCGCCCCTTATGGCCCCCCCTCACAGCTCCCTATCTGGCAGACCCTCACTGCCCCCCACAGCTCCCCATCTGGCAGTCCCTGCCCTTCATTGCCCCCCCCCACGGTTCCCTATTTAGCAGCCCCTGCTCTAATTGCCCCCCACAGCTCCCTATCTGGCAGCCACCCATTGCACCCCACAAACCCCTATCCGGCAGCCCC